AATAAACAAAAAAAAAAAAAATAAATAAATAAATAAATAAATAAATAAAATAAATAGAGAATGTACCTTGTTGTGATGCTTCGGACATTTTTTGTAGCATTTGATTACAAAAGAGTTGTAAATCTGAATCAAGAGGTTTTGTTTTTTTTCTTCTTCTTTGTCTTAATCTTTCTAAGGCTCCAGCAAAAGAATTGGGATCGATCGATCCCGATCCCGATCCCGATCCCGATCCCGATCCCATACCAGAATTAACAGAACGGGATACAGATATAGATCCAGATGTTGGCAATGCAGGGTCCGTCCAATCCGGCTCACGCTACACAACCACCATACAATCAATATATATATTTATTTATTACATACAAACCCTAAACCCTAAACCCTAAACCCTAAACCCTAAACCCTAAACACTTAGATATACGCAGAAACAATTAGATTCGTAGAAATACAGGCATATATACTAACACAAGGGTTTAGGGTCTAGGGTCTGCTTAGGATCTAAGGTTTATTAGGGTTTAGGATTTATTAGGGTTTAGGGTTTATTAGGGTTTAGGGTTTATTAGGGTTTAGGGTTTATTAGGGTTTAGGGTTTACATCACTGTCAATTCCTCCCTCAACAGGAACAATATCATCAGGATCTTCATGTATTGCTGCTTCTGGATCTTTTTCTATAAACCCTCCGAGTGTATCGTCATCTGGATCTGCTGCGTCTGCTGCTGCTGCTGCTGCTGCTGCTTCTTTGTTTCTGTGTTCTTTATGTTTATGTTTATGTTTGTGTTTATGTTTATGCTTGTGCTTCTTCTCGCTCTTATCCTTCTTTTGCTTCTTCTTGCTGCTGCCGTCATGATGCTGCTGCTCATACTCCTCTTCCTGCTCCTGCTGCTCCTGCTGCTGCTGCTGCTGCTCTCCATAGTCATCGTGGGACAGCTGCTGCTCTCCTGCATGCAGCAAACCCTGATCAACCTCTCCTTGCTGCAGCTCTTCTTCCTGCTGCCCTAGAGCATCATCTTCTGCTCCGAAAAGGCCGCCCTCTGCAGCCTCCATTGCTGCTGTTGCTGCTGCTGCTGCTGCTGCTGCTGTATTGCTTGCTGCTGCGGCTGCGGCTGTTGCTGACTCTGCTACTGTTGCTTTGGCCCCTCCTGCCGGTCTTGCTGCGATTGCTGCTGCCACAACTGCGGTAATTGGGGTTGCTGCTGCTGCTGCAACGAGAGGATGACGAAGAAGTTTCTCGCTGCAGCAGCAGCAGCAGCTGCTGCTGCTGCTGCTCTTTTTGAAAGGTTGCTGAGGGGCGTTTGCTGCTGCTCCCTATCAATCGTTCCTCTATATTACGATTAAAAGATAAATAAAATATATTTAAATAATTTATTTGTATAATTGAAGCCCCAATACTCTCGCTGCAGCCCCTGCTGCTGCTGCTGCTGCATGCAGCGGACTATCCGCTGTCCGACCGCTGTCGGGTGTATAGACACCTTGTGTTGTTTTTCTTGTTAAATACATTAAAAAAAGTGATTTAATTGTTACTAATCAATTTAATTTGTATTATTTAGTTCTTAAGGTGTATGCATGCAGCAGTGCATGCAACAATATCCCCCCTGTTCTTGTTGCTGCTGCTGCTGCTGCAGCAACGGGAGGCTTACTTTCCGCTGTCTTATGACTCATTAGTCCTATAAGTTCTTTCCGTTGTTTTCTTTGTTTTTTTTATTATTAAGGAGAAAGTAACTCCTGCTGCTGCAGCAAAGTGTATAACAATAGCAGCAGCACCAGCAGCAAAACCGTCTGCTGCTGTTGCTGCTGCTGCTGCACCTACCACGTCCTCATCTATTTGCTGCTGTCTTCGTGGCGCCTCGTTGCTAGGCACTAAAAAACAAGGAAGACAAGGTTAAATAGAGGCATAATCTGCCGTTGTTGTTGTGGTTGCTGCTGCTGCTGCAGCAGCAGCAGCAGCTTTCTTCTGCGGAGCAGCAGTAGACAGCTAGCTGCACGTACACCCGAAGGAGCAGCAAAGAAGACACGTAGGGGGTGGGGTGTACGTACACCCCAATTAATTATCCCTTTCTTAGGGTTAATTAAACCCTAAACCCTAAACCCTAAACCCTAAAATGGGGAGAAGACGTGAGGCATTTATTGGTGCAGGGGCATTAGGTACCCTTACTGCTGTTGCTGCTTCGCTGCAGCAGTCGCTGCTGCTGCTGCTGCTGCTGGTTGGTGGGGTTGTTGTTTATGGTGTATGGTTCTGGTTAAGAGTCTTTAAGGCGTACCCTTGTGCTGCACCTCTGCTGCAGCAAAGAAAAAGCAGCAGCAGCAGCAGCAGCAAGAGCAGCAACAGCAGCAGCAGGCTCTTAGACCGTCAGGATAGTCCTCATGGTGCAGCAGCAACAGCAGCAGCACCAGGGACTGGTGCTGCTGCTGAGGGTGTAAGCTCTTTGCGTAGCCGCAGCCACAATAAGAATAGCAGCAGCAGCAGCAACAGCAGCAGCAGCAGCAACAGGAGTTTCTCTACAGATGCAAGTGCTGTTTGCTGCTGCGAGAGAGGAGACAGTTGGGAGGAAGGGACAGAAGACTCAGCAGACGAAGCAGATTCAGAGGCAGAACAGGAGTGTCTCCTTTCTGCAGCAGCAGCAGCAGCAGCAGCAGCAACTGCAGCAGCAACTGCAGCAGCAACTGCAGCAGCAACATCATCAACCACCTCCTCTTCTTCCTCATCCTCATCAACAGCACCAACAGCATCATCAACACCAGGAGCAACAGCAGCAACAGCAGCAGCAGCTGCTGCTGCAGCAGCAGCAGCAACAGGTGCAACAGGAGCAGGAGGAGGAAATAAGCAGCAGCAAAAATTACCAAGAAGAATGAGCTTTGCTTCCTATAATCTTGCTGCTGGCTGCTTCCCTGCTGCAGCAAAGGTGCAGCACCATATTGTATCCGGGTGTATGTACACCTCAACTCTTCCTTCTGTACAAACTATTCTTCATCTTATTCAATATGGATTTGCTACCTTCCATAGACTCAGGTCTGCTGCTGCTGCTGCTGCTGCTGCTGCTGCTGTTGCTGCTGCTGCTGCTGTTGCTGCTGATGGTGGGGTGGCTGGTTGTTGGGTGTCTCTTGTTGCTGTGTTGCTGTTGCTGCACAGTTATTGTACTCATTGTCTTACTCTATTGCTGTCGCTGCTATTGCTGCTGTTGCTGCTGCTGCTGTTGCTGCTGCTGCTGCTGCTGCAGTTGGGCTTACGTATGCTGACGGATGAGAGAGGAGTTCCTCTTAGCGAGCTGCCTAATCCTCCTGTACTAAAGGCAGCAGCAGCAGCAGCAGCAGAACATTTGTGTCTCCTTCCTACTCCTACTGCTTTGCTGCTACGATTGGTAAGGAGACACCAGACAGCAGCAACAGCAGCAGCAGCAACAGCAGCAGCAGCACGAGCAGTAAACCCTTTCCCTTTCCTTCCTAAACCCTAAACCCTAGATTAATAGCAGCAACTCCTGCTGCTGTATAGACAACATGCCTCCTGTCTGTGCTGCTGCTGCTGCTTCTGCTGCTCTTGCTGCTGCTGCTGCTGCTGCAGACGAAGCGTTTGCTGCGTGCCCCCGGCCGTTTATTACGTTTATCTGTTGAAGGTTTCTTATTATTTTGGGGCTGCATGCGCGCAATATTTGGGGCTTTATGTTGCACCAGTGATGCATGCACTCCTCTTACAGGGACACAACAACAAAGAAATTCATTAACATGGAGTACTAAACAGGAGGTATTGCTGCTGTTGCTGCTGCTGTTGCTGTTGCTGCTGCTGCTGTTGGTGGTGCTGCTGTTGCTGTTGCTGCTGCTGGTAAAAGTTCTGTTTGCTGCTGTTTATTATTTACATAAATAAATACAAATAAGTAAATTAATTAATTAATTTGTAATTAATAGTAATACATTTATAATAAATATTTATTTATTTATTTATTTATTTATTTATTTATTTATGTGTCTCCTTATGTGTCTCCTGTCTCCTTATGTGTCTCCTCCTTTTTTTATTTTTTTTTTTTTTTTTTTTTTTTTTTTTTT